AGCACTTGGGGCACTTCCCCAAGTCAGGGGCTGATTAGGGAAGCCTCCCTTAGTCCACCAACCTAAGGGGCCTCCTCGGCATAATTTAGACCCACCCCTCAATAAGTCTCCACACCGGTCACAAAGGAGAACTTTATTGATTACAGGGGTAGGACGGAAACAGGGTAAAAGGTAGAGCAATATCATAGAAATGTTACAGGAATATCAGAGGAATCCCATAGAGCAAACCAGGGTGGCTGAGGTAGCCGTTTCAACACGCATCTGAGTTACTGAAGCTAAATATCTAATCGGATCTCGAGTAGCTTACTCACTCGCATCGTCCAGAGGTGGTTGGAGTTTCCTCTGGAGGCAGGGCACTCTTGGAGCACGCGGTGATGAGGAGAGAGCCAGGTTCAGATTCACCTGGATGACCGCATGGATAATGGCGACCTTCTTCCTGGCCCGGGCCCTTAAATAACCTCTCTGACCTCAGCAGCCGGTCCAATCGAAGCTGCCAATACTGGCCACAAACCGACCAATCTGCCAAGCATCCCTGGCTACCTGGGCCCGCGTGCAGGGCCGGGCCTTCCCCCCCCCTGCCCAGGTGACCAGAGCATCGCCGCCCAGGCGCCAGGCTTTTGTCATGCAGACAAGGTGGGAGATCCCCGCCCTGAGGGACTCAACAGCAGCCTCTCAGGCTGGCTGAGACAGATCTCTGGAGAGGGGCACCGACGGTGGCATTTCTGCCACAGGGATGTGGTGTGAAGCAAGTTAATGTTATAGGCCCTTATCTAAGGAAGTGTGTGTATAAGTTGGAAGATGGTAAGAGAGGTTATTGTGGCTATTGGATCATTTCAAAGTACTGGTGAAGTTGTCATATCAGGTAAGAACATAATCTTAGCAGCTGTCTTTTGGATGGACTGATGTGGAGGTTAGAGAGAAGATTGCCATTATGAAGGTGTGGATGAGGATGTTGTACAGCAAAGACGAGAGCTTCAGCATGTTGTGAAGGTAAAAAGAGTAAGGTTTGACTATGGTTATGGTATATATTAGGGGAATGAGACAGTGAAATGGTAGATACATGATGTGTTGTAATAGGGAGGATGCTGTTGTCACAGTAACAGAAAGGATAAGTGAAGAGAGAGCTGAACTTTTCCATATTAAGATAAATTTAGGCTATTTTTTGTCAGGAAAACATGCATGAGGAAATATCACTGATGGCTGAAGTGCAGAATTGACTGCAAAGAAATGGGGAGTAGAAAAATAGACTTGAGAGCCAATGGCATAGAGTTGAAATTATGAGCAATTAAGATTTTATGCCAGTGTCTTGTCACTGCTTTCCTGGACAATTTCATGAAAAAGTCCTAAATCTATATTTGTCTCCCTTCCCTCTGGCATTTTGGTGTATGCTTATCTTAAACAGAGAAGGAGCAGATGGTAATGATGAAGAACATGAACAGATTGAAGACAACAGCATGGACACTGCTACTCTTGAGGCTGCTAAACCTTCTCGGGCAGATGGAGACCAGGAAGAAGATACTGAAAAGTTGAATGATGATGAGCTGGCAGAATATGATCTGGATAAATATGATGAAGAGGAGAACACAGGTAAGATAAGTCTGTTTATCCTGTCATTGATGCAGGGTAAATGGGTGAGTCTACATATGCACTTTAATGCTCAGTAGCCTGTTTTACTGTACATTAAAGCATCACAAAAAAAAACGTGAAAGTATGCTAATGCACAGTAAAATAAGCTACCGAGGATAAAGTGTCACTTAAAAACCATGCACATTCATTACTGTGCATTAAAACAGCCTAATGCACATTTGTTTAGTACCTCACATTAGAGGGCGCTGTGCCCGCCTCCGTTCAACTAAGTGCTCCCGGGCAGCCTTTGCCCGGACTATGGATCGCGTCTGTCCCGGGCTCGCGGGTGGACCCCACAGGCTACCCCTGCCAACGTCATGGGGACCCCTTAACTTGCCTGCCACGAATTTGTATGTTGCTTCAGTGGAGGGGTTCCCCCTTGGGGCAGCTTCCCGGATCGTCACGCCTTCCGGCGGGCATTCACGGGGCTCCGACCTCCCCTACACCCCGGCCACTTGCCCCCTTGGGCTGCCGATCTTC